CAGCCCCCTTCTCTTGAAACACCAGTATCCGTCTTGAGTTTTTAACTGATTCTTAAGGTCTCCAAAGGCAGTTTCTAACCACACCAGACCAGGGATCTCTGCACTCTTCAGAGCTAACTTTTCTTCTCTCTCTAGAAGAGCTATCCCCTTTCCATCGGCTGAGTGGGAGTCTCCATCTAACTATCCACTCGTCCTTGCCCCATTTCTCCTGTCTGTGTTAAACTGCTCTCCGTCAGGGCTAAATTCCAATGAATTCTCCTCCTCAGCATTCAGCTCTAAAGTCTCTCTGTGTTCAGCTGATGCTAACCAATCAGTTTACTTGGAGCAGCCTGTCACTCAAGCCTCTCTGTTTCTGTGAACAATTAGCCCTCCACAGTTCTTTGTCTGTTTGTACACTTCTAAGCTTTTAAAAGTGCAGTCCATCACAATTGGTTAAACAGATCCCAGTATTCCTATTTGCTATGCTACTGTAACTTCCAGCACAGCCACGCTGTTCCTTCCAAACTCTCAGTACTCCTGCACCTATAACCATCCCAGTGTCTTCTCTCTCATAGCCACCAGCGCACCAATGATTAAGGGCCAAAAAGATGTAACAAAGACCACACATTTCCATCCATCTGTAAAAGGTAAACAAAATAAACATGATTTACCTTTTACAGATGGATGGAGAGCCATGATTTTCATTCCATCTGTTTTGCCCCTAGATTCAAAGCTGTGTGAATATCATATTTTGGTGGGAGCACAGAAGAGCTGCAAAGTGTGGTTTCTAGTTGTTATGTCTGAAAACTTGCAAAAGAAGTTGCTGGATCAGATTTTTAACAGTCGGGAGGCAGGGTGTCAGTGCTTTGCCTAGTTCCGTGCCAGTCTTCATGACCAGCACAAGCGGAATAAAAGTTCATTATGCAGGCAGTAAACACTACAAGATAATCTGTGCAGTTTGCAGTGCCCTGCCCTCTGGCCTTCTTATTTACTTCTCATACTTGGCATAAGGCTGGTAGGACTCCTTTGAATTCTCCCTGGCAGGATGGCAAGTGCTCACTTATACCACCCGGCCAAAACTGGGCAGCCAGATGGCCATTCTGTCAGGCACTTAAGGGCCCCCCAAAAACAGCACTCGTTCTGCCACTCACTTGGCCAAGGGTCCCATTTCCTTCTTACCCCTCTGCTACACTAACTTTCATGAAGTGCTCCTGCCTGTCTTATCCACTGGCGTACACAGCACAGCTCCTACACCTTTGCAGCTCCCATTTGGTGGCAAAAGAGATAAGACATGCGCAGCAGAGGTCTGTGTACTGATATCCTCACCGTGCCATTCAGGTTTCACCTGGTGCCCATCCATGCTTCTTTTTCTACCTGCAGCATTGCTCCTAATCTTCCACAAGGCACAGGTAGGTGAAAGTGAGAGCACCCTCTTGGGGGCTGGGGATCCAGACTTTTCTTAAGTGCAGTTTGCTTACACGGCGATGAAACTCACAAAACTCTTCTAGCAAGTTGTCCAGACAGAGGTGAACACATGAAGGTTCCTTATCCTGCATCAGCCCATTGGTCTAACATTGGTTCACTAATGTCTGCTCTCACTGGCAGCCACACTGCAGGGTCTCAAGTGGAGGTCCTTCCAATCACCTTCTACCTGGTCGATTTAGCTGGAGATGGCAGGAATTTGAATCTGGGTCCTTTTGCATGCCAGGCAGATGCTCTACCACTGAACCATAGCAAATCCCCTGTCAGGTGTCTAACAGGATAGGTCTTTAAGCCTTCCACAGATTTCAGTCTCTCAGAAGGTACATTAAGATCCTGTACCCACCTCAACCCTGACATTCTACAGAGACCTGCCACCTGCTCCTCATCCCAAGCTGGGCATCAGCAGGTGGCATCAGAGGTGGAAGCAGAGAGGGAGGGAGGGAACATGAGACAGAGCAGCAGAAGTGGCAGAAGCAGCAACAGGAAAAGTACATAAAGCAAAATAATTGCAGTGATAAAGCCATCCCTCCTCCCCTTCATGTGTTGGCTGGGATCGCAAGGTTGCTGATATAGCTGAATCCATAAAGGCGTGCACTAT